CCACCACGCCCGGTCCTGCCGAGCTCCGATCTGGTGCCTCCATATCTGCACACAAGGCGTCGCCACCCCTCTCTGCTTCCTCCTCCCCACCAATCTGCACTACATATGCATCATCTTCCTCTTCCCCAGTTTCTCCCCTCCCTCTGGTTTCCCCTATTCCTCACTGCTCCAGCCGCCAGCTTCCCCTCTTCCTTCTCGCTAGCTTCTTCTCCGGTCCTTCCCCTCCCCTGCATCTTGTCCTCTCCCTCCCAGCCACCCATAAGCTCCTCTGTTCTGTACTCTGTTTTTTACGGTTCAATTTGTGGCTGCTGCCTAAGTTCTAATTTTATTTCAATTAGTGGCTGCTGTCTACTAGTGTGATGCTTACGGGCCTTTCTGTGCTGCCTGCATAGATGTTGCTATAACTATTAATCCCAAGTGAAGTAGTGATTTAAGTTATGTTGTTATGGTCTCGGGTTCCTCTACTTCCCATGCTTTCAAAATTTATTGTACGACAGTAGTATTAGGCCTTGTACAATGCTAGGTGCTTAGAAAAATAAACCGGGTTTTTCTGAAGCACCGGTGCCTATTCCTACAGGAGAGACGCCTAACTAAGCGTCTACCCTGACAAATACGCACCGGTGCTTAAGAAAAGTCTGGTTTATTTCTCTAAGCACCTCCCCTAAGCACCTTGCATTGTACAAGGCCTTGGTAGTTAAGTACTATAGTATTTTTTTAGTAGCTACTGCTGAACTACATGTCGGCTAGTCAAGCACTAATCGTGACTAGTCATGATTAATTTGTCTATGAGTCGGCATTCTGACCACTCGGCTTGACTCGTAATTCTTGCTCCTAGTTAATGTTCGTATTAGCAATAGCAAGCGAGAGCCTTGTATTACACATTACTCCCAATAATTTTCACAGAATTGCACCCCCTTCACATTGTTCTGCTTCTCCCTTTTTCTGTTGTCTGCCGCATAAATATACAAACATCACTCTTTCCGTTGTATTTTGTGCCCCTCTTTATAGTGTTTTACTTACGCTAATAAGAGCGCATGCACCTGGCTGCGCTACATCCTTACTTGGTGTACAATTCCATATTTTGGTCTAATTAATCAAATGTGCAAGATGTGGGGTTTATGTAGATTACAAAACTTGGTAACACAGTGGAATGAGTTTATATCTAATTTGGTATTTCAGTATATAATAAGTGTCCATGGATAGCTGACAAGATTCGATATATATACAATGAGGTTACCCTATGAAAGACTATTGAGACGATATTGATATTTTTATTTAGCTTGCCGATTATAATTTAGTGTCGTCTAGATAGTAGTTGTTGTTCTCACCTTGATTAACTTGAAAGAAATATCTATTTGCAGAGCTTACTAAAAAGGTCTTGGAATGGAACAGTGATCTCACTACACAAACAGATGAAAGCGGGAGTACACCTCTCCATTTTGCTGCAGCTCTGTTAGGGCAAAGTCTCCAAGGAAGTGTATGCTGCCAAGTATTGGAAGCTAACTCAGCTGCATTGTATCAATCAGACCACAATGGATTATTTCCAATACACGTTGCTGCCTCTGTTGGTGAAAGAGGGACAATCATCATGTTTCTTAACAAGTCCCCAACCAGCGCCGGTTTGCGCGACAGCATGGGAAGGACATTCCTTCATGTAGCTGCTGAGAAAAAGAAAGTCAGGATAGTCAGTTTTGTTTGCAGAAATCGATCGCTCTCATCGATTCTGAATATGCAGGATAATGATGGAAACACTGCACTACACCTAGCTATCCAGACAGGGAGTCTTCCAATGTTTTGTGCTTTGTTAGGTAATCGGCAAATACGTTTAAACTTACCAAATAAGAAACGGCAAACTGCTCTAGATATGTCACAGTATAAGATCCCCTCAGGATTTTTTGATGATCAGGTAATGTACTCTACCAGTTTATTTTTAAGCACTGCCCTTGATGCGAAAGAAATCAATGGAGATTTGTGTGGTTTGGCTTCACCTATTTCTCTTTCTTTTTGCAGAACAGTGAAGCCAGGATACACTTTGCACTTAAAGTCGTTAGTGCTAGGAGTGGTGGCTGTCGCCAGGATCACTTTGAAGAAAACTACAATGACCAGCTAAAACATTATGAAAAAGAAGAATTAGCAAAGGTGAAAGATTCAACACAAACATTGTGTATTGCTGTAGTGCTAATTGCAACTATGACGTTTGGTGCTACTTTTGCCCTTCCTGGAGGTTACAGAGCCGATGAGCATACCAATGGAGGCACGCCTACACTTTCTGGGAGTTATGCTTTTGATGCATTCATAATAGCGAGCACACTCTCTTTCATCTTGTCTGCGATGGCTATAGTAGGTCTCATATATTCTGGATACTACTCACACAGTCGCAAAATTTTCTTACTCGTAGCCTTGTATTTTGGAGCAACATCAGTCACATGTTTCACAGCAGCTTTTGCACTAGGCTTATACATGGTGCTAGCGCCAGTTGCTCATAAGTGTGCTGTCACTATCTGTGTCATTATCCCCTTTGTTGTTCTATGCAACAAAATTGAATTTTTGGTAAAGTGGGTTCTTCTGGCCCATCATTATGTACTCGAATTGGGCTAATTCGCACATTGGTAATATTAGCAACAAAAATCCTTTGCAACCTGCTGATGGAATTTTGGCCCATCATATCCATATTTGTTTGGGCCACATATATAAGGAACTAGGCTTATAAATGGAACTGCTGATACAAACTATTAGCACCCATGACTACTTGAAGATGCATCAAATGGAGAATTTTTCGGTCAAGGTGTTTTCGCCTGACCGTTGGGTATTTAGGATTTACTGTGCTTTTCTTATAAGAATATTTAATTATTTTTAAGTGTTGTGTCCTGATGTACCTTTATGTTCAAGAGTTTGTGCTCATCATCATGTAAACACTGATTTCCAGTGCTATATACAACTTCTTTGAAATGTGCAATTGGTTTTGATTTTCTGTGTATATCTCGTATTTTTGTATGTAAAACTGAGTGTAGGAAGCCAAATCCACGCGCAAATATCTTTCTGACCTAGCTACGGTGGGTAAATGTATTACAGGACTATTCTTCTGGTACTTGCCTCTGAAGTGTCAGCACACTGCTTTGCTACCTTAATGAAATTATTATGATGGATTTGGGAATTGGTTGTTCTCGTAGATGGAGTTTCATGAGAATATCCAATGATTTGTCAGTGGCTTTTGTAGGACATAACTTTACACAATTATTGCCTAATGTTGCGCTAGAAGGTTTATGCACCATATTGATGAGAAAGGATGCATGATGGTTTTTTAAGCATGTAACAAACATGGTTAAGTTGAGTCAGGGCAAAGTTGTTTCTTGAATATGGTCGTTGCAATTCATTAGTCGTGAATGCCATCCTAATAGGTGGCATGAGAGAGAAATGAAGTGAAAGCGAGCGCTCCACAACATCACATAAGTCATAGCACTCCTTGTAGGAAATTGCATGTGCATCACTTGTCATGTTTATGTTACCTAGTGCAGATAGCATGGTTAGTTGCTTCAGTGGTATCCGATATGTGAACAAGAAACTTCATCATGCTTGTATTTGATTGTTTGTCTCACAAATTAGAGTGTGCCCCCCGTTTTGGTAATGTGTGCAATACCGTGTTTCTAAAGTAAGTGTCAATAGAAAATTAACACATGACATTGCAAAGATGGAAGTTCATCACAGGAGCTGGCAAATTTACTTGATGTTGTCGACGGTTTCACTATAGGATAGTTAAATATTCTTGTTCTAGATAGATGATATACCAGAATAGTTTAAGATTTGTATGCTGGCCAATGAACGAAGAAACAGTGTCATCCTTTCCTTTTTCCACTTTGGTAAGATGATGCAGTGGGAATCTATTTAAGTATCCATATATCCAGCTATGTAGATATAATCTTGAAGATGAGCACCTACGAGAGACGCACGTCGGAGGACACAAATCGTATACAGAAGCATGTTAAGATTGAAGATTAACTAGTTGATTGTACGCTGAAAGTATTTTGTGAAGCAGTCATGGGCTATGATAAAAAGTAAGACCACTGAAAATGTCTCTTGACGAGATTAGAATGAGAAGAAATAATGGCCTTTGCAAGCTTGAAACATTTGTGTACTTGCCCTCCAATGTTCGCATTTACTTCTTGATCTGAACAGTTTTGCGAGAGCGGAGTTAGTTGGTGAGAGGCCAGATCAACTTATGACTGCACTCTTGAGTTGTTGGAGGAGAAAATAGTGCTTCATGGTATCATCACACGTTCTATATATTCACTAGTTGTCACGTTATTTCCAGTTGAGAGTGTACTTATACGATCGTCCCGCCACAGTTTGTCACTTGCTCTGGTGAAATCATTGTACTGTCGTAGATTGTAGGATTAGGAGACGTTGGGATCATGCACTCTGGTAAAGAATTAGTAGAAACAAGTTGGGGAATTGGACAGGGCTCTGTCTGCTGGGCGAAGAGCTTGAGCAATCCCTCCCATGATCCACACATCTATTGCTTTTACAATTTTCATATTTGGGACATTGCAACCGAGCATCCTTAGCTCCTCTCACGTATTCAGTTAATTCAGCTGTCAGATTGAATATCTCTATCATTCCTAGCTGTTGATGCATGTTAATACCTTTATTTTCGCTCAGTGGGATTGGCTATTCTGGTGAGAGAGAAAATCGGATTATGTTTGTTTATTGAGCCTTGTACAATCTATCTCTGGCAACCTTGCAAATATTAAAACAAGATTAATAATCACATGGAAGATTCAAAGAATTTAATATGGTGTCAATATTTTTTTTAACTCTTATAAATATTTGAAGGAGATCATGTAATAGTTTCAGAGACATGGTAGTTTCATATAATTTGGTCTTATTCCAGAATAGATGACCTTTAGCACGCCTGGCTAAGTGAGCGGCACCGATCCCATGTGTTAACACACTTCTGTGTAGAGACCCACGATTTAAATTGCTAACTATTGCACTTTGTAATGCTATCCTACCTACGGCCGTGAGCTATTGCACATTGTACAACTATAGTAGGAGATAATCGACCTGGAGTATTTGCACCTGAGCTCAAATGCTCCTGGTGAACAATAAAATTGGGAAAATAGAACAAACAATTCTGATTTCTTTTGTGACAACCTTTGACAAATTTTCTATGTGCTTCCCAAAATTCATCATGAATGAACATTCCTGGAAGTCATGGCAAAAAAAAAAAAATCAATACTCCAAAAATGCTTTTTTTGAAAGCATTTTGCATTTTGGAGTATTGGTTTTTTTTCCATGACTTGCATGAATGTCATTTCGTGATGAAAATTTTCAAGCATAGAAAAGTTTTGTCAAAGGTTACCACAAAAAAAAGTTCAGATTTTTTTATTTTTTTATTTTCTTTCAGTTTTACTGTTAGCCCGAGCTCATTTGAGCTCGGGAGTGGAAGAACACTTCCAGAGATAGTCTCCTTATTTGGCATAGCTCGTCATTAGCTATGGTTAAACCTCGTAAGTGCACATGAGACAAAAAAAACCCTGTAATAATTGGGTAAGTTACCCCAAAACGGCCATGTATAAGTAAATAACATGGAAAAATAGAAACCATAATAGACTAGGTCGGTACTTTATCTTGGAGCTTGGTTGGCCGGTGACTACATCATGATGACTCTAACCAACACTCACGATGTCCCAGCCAAACAATAAAATAAATCATCTATTCATCCGTCAATTAGTTGATGGGTGGATTGAATTTAGTCCTTCCATGGCGGATGATATTCTGTTAGGCATTTACTTTTATTTTTGTATAAAATCATATTGTAAATAGTTACCGTGATAGCTCACAGTAGCTGACATAGCCATAGCTCGAACTACATCACGAAGCCGCAAAAACGTGATCTAAAACCTTGAGCGAGACCACAAGACGGCTTCAAAGAGTGGTGAGAGGATTTACTCATGGGAAAGGATCTAACGGTTTCATTATAGGATAGTTAAATATCCTTTTTTAAATAGATGCTAGAGTAGTTTAAGATTCATATGGTGACCAATGAACAAAGAAGAAGTGTCATCCTTTCATTTTTGCTACGGTGCGATGTTATTTAAGTATTAATGTATTCAGCTATGTAGATATAATCTTGAAGATGAGCACCTATGAGAGACACACATTGGAAGACACAAGTCATATATAGAAGCAGGTCAAGGTTGAAGATTCATTGGGTGAATGTATGCTGAAAGTATCTGGTGAAGAAGTCATGGACTACGATAAACAGAGGACCACTGAAATATCTTTTGACGAGATTAGAATGAGGGGAAATAATGGCCTTTGCAATCTTGAAGTATTTGTGCACTTGCCCTCAAATGTTAGCATTTACTTCTTGATCTGAACAGTTTTGCGGGAGCGGAGTTAGTTGGTGAGAGGCCGGATCAACTTATAACTGCACTCTTGAGTTGTTGGAGGAGAAAATAGTGCTTCATGGTGTCATCACACGTTCTATATATTCACTAGTTCTCACGTTATTGCCAGCTGAGAGTGTACTTATACGATCGTCCCACCACAGTTTGGCAGTTGCTCTGGTGAAATCATTGTACTATAGTAGATTGTAGGATTAGGAGACGTTGGGATCATGCAATCCAACCGCAGTAAGGTCTTTCGTATAGGATTAGTAGAGAGAAGTTGGCGAGTTAGATAGGGCTCTGGCTGCTGAACGAAGAGCTTGAGCAATCACTACCATGATCCACATCTACTGCTTTTATAATTTACATCTTTGGGACATTGCAACCGGGCAGCCTTAGCTCCTCTCACATATTCAGCTACTTCTGATGTCAGAATGCACGTCTTAGTCATTCCTAGCTGTTGTTGCATGTTTATACATTTGTTTTCGCTTAGTGTGAGGGTGGCTGTTCGGGTGAGAAAAAAACGGACTATGTTTGTTTACCGAGCCTTGTAAAATCTATCTCTCGCAACCTTGCAAATGTCAAAACAAGATTGAAATTTACATGCAAGTTTTTCAGACCAATTTAATATGGTGTCAATCTTATAAATATTTGAAGGAGTGCATGTAATTTACATAGATGTTTTTTTCTAGAGACGTGGTAGAGCTCTTGCATACTAGGATATCAGCAACCAGTTTGGTCTTATTCCAGAATAGATCACCTTTAGCACGCCTTGCTAACTAGAGTAGCACTGATCCCATGTCTTAACGCACTTCTGTGTCGAGACCAACGATTTAAATTGCTAGCTATTGCACTTTGTGCCGCTGTCCTAGCTACTACCGCTAGCTATTGCACTTTGTACTGCTATCCTAACTATGACAGCTATAGTGGCAGATAAGTCTCCTTATTTGGCACAGCTCGTCATTCCCTATGGTTAAACCTCATAAGTGCACATGAGACAAAAAAGTATGTTTTTGGTCCCTCAAGTTCTCACTAAGTATAGACTTGGTCCCTCAAGATTTTTTGGTATACATTTGGTCCCTCAAGTCTTAAAACCGGATAAGTTTGGTCCTAAACCAGATTTTGATCACATTGACCGGGTTTGACTTCCACAAAACCGCATGGTGAACGGTAAATTTGAAAAAAAAACATTACAAAAATCTGAATTTT